TCTCTCCTCCCACACCGCTCAGCCGCCTATCACAGTCCGGCAGAGCGGTGTGGGGGCGGAGACATCGCTGTCACAGGAGGCTGGGCTTTCCTCTCTACACCACTCTATCAGCCTCCTGTGACAGCGTGTCAGAGAGAAAAGCAAGGTACACACACTCAGCGATCAGGGATTGAGGATATGGTATGTTAACTATATCCTCAATTATAAATGAATGGGAGTGATCTACATCACCCCCATTCATTTATAATTGTAGTTATAGTAAACAAACAATGTTCTCATGTTATCAATGAACAGGAACACTCATAGAGGATTCCTGTTCATTGATAACAGGGGACACAGAAAAAGAGATTGAGGACTCTGTGTTCTCAATCTCTTTATCTATTTTAAAAGGGAAATATCAGGGGTCTGTTTAGACTCCCAATATATTTCCCCGAAGCCCCTAAAAGTAAAGTAAAAAATAAAAATATTTAATAAAAAATGAATGAATAAATAAAAATAAATATATGAAAATTAAAAAGTTTATAAAAAATACATTATTTTAAAAAATTGAAATAATAAAAATAAAAAACATTTTCGGTATCGGTTTCGGTTTCGGCCTGACATTTTTTTTATTTTGGTTTCGTTTCGGTTTTAAAATTTCCATTTCGGTGCACCTCTATTATAAACAATTATGTTCTGTAGTTTAATGAGGGACACATACAGGTTATGAGTTAAAATTTTCTTTGTAGACACGGAAATATTATTACCTTCACATAAGCAACTATTTTAAGGGAGATGGTTGCAAGATAGAGGGAATTCATAGCGAAATCCATTAAGTTCCACCAGTCGTGTACATATTCGGTAAATCCCCCATCCCACATCTCTTTGATTTCACCCCAAATAAAACCTGTACAAAAGAGAATACACACAAAAGTTAGATCCAAACAAGCATTTTTAAGTAACCCTACGGTTTCACCAACCCTTCTAAGGTAAACTTTGATAACCACTGATCACGGTTACTGTGACCAATACCTGACCCACCCCCTCCTGCCATTACAAAATTCTACTTGGAAACAGATGCACTTTCGAAAATAATATGAGCGCACAAGTTTACCTTATGCAACAAACATGAAATAATAGATTTTATTTCAAGAGAGAGAGAGAGAGAGCTTACTGCGTCATACTGTTTCCTGCAGAGAAATGACATTGAACAGACAAATAGTTTGATCTGGTGAATTTGCTTTGTGTAAATGTAGCTTAGTGACACAGGTAAACAAATTCTTAATTGGTGAATTTCAATAATGTGCAAGGATGTATAAGATATCTTTTTACAGTATGCTCCTTAGGAACAAAGATCAATTTACACAAATGTTATGATTATCGTTTTAACTTCCAGAGCATAACTGTTTTGTGTGCTTTTATTAAATTCAGTTGGAAACACCAGCCCTGTATTTATTTAAATGTATAACAAGGCCCAGTGATCCGTAACCAGTTGCTGTGGTGCTCAGATGTGACCATCTGCAAGAATACTATGGCACGTTGATAGAAGCTAATAAATAAACTAAATAAACTAAGAAAAGAGGGGTACACAGTACAATTGCTTGATAAAAACAGGAGTAGCAGAAACTAAACACCAGGCAACATCTAGTTTCTTGATTATATAACGCAAGTGGTATTTAAAATAAGCGCATCACACAACTGTTATAGTCAAAGCAATAATAGAAAACTGTACAGAACATGCATGCCTGGGGACATTTTTACAATCATACTTGGTAATTTCTCTCTCTATTGAGTAACCTGGCTCTAAATTAAAGCAGAACTCTATTTAATTTTGGACAGAGTTAAGAAGGGTTCAAACTAGGGATGCACCAATACCACTATTGGTGCCAATACTGGGTATTTTTATGAGTACTCATGAAAATGCCCAGATACCAGCGGTTTAAATTTTTTAATGGGTTTGGCTGCCTGAGGTCCCACGCTTGCTGGGGACCTCGGCAGCCTTGTGGGGACCTTACAGCGGCTGTGCATTGCCTCCCCACGCACCCACGAGACCCTGAACAGCCTGATGAGATGCCGCACACAGCCCTGGGGAGAATGCACAGCCCTGGAGAGAGGCCGCACACAGTCCTGGGGAGACTGCACAGCTCCGGAGTGATGCCGCACACAGCCCTGGGGAGAATGCACAGCCCTGGGGAGAATGCACTGCTCTGGAGTGATGCTGCACACAGCCTTGTGGAGACTGCACAGCCCTGGAAAGATACTGCACACAACCCTGGCGGAGAATGCACAGCCCTGGAGAGACGCCGCACACAGCCCTGGTGAGAACGCACAGCCCTGGAGAGACGCCGCACACAGCCCTGGTGAGAACGCACAGCCCTGGTGAGACCACTGCACACAGCCCTGGGGAGACCCCACACAGCCCCGGTGAGCAACACACAGTATGTAGCTCTATTATTCTGCATTGCTGTATAATGTTTTGCTGGAATTTGTAGTCATCTATAGCTGATGGTATTCTGCATTGTTGTAAAATGTATTGCTGCGATTTGCAGTCCTCTATCACTAGTGGTATTCTGCGTTGCTGTACAATGTATTGCTGGGATTTGTAGTCCCTTTACAGCTTGGAGTCAGTGTCAGAACTACCAGGGTCACAGCGGTTGCAGCTGCGACTGGGCCCTGGTGCTTATAATTGTAGTTATAGTAAACAAACAATGTTCTCATGTTATCAATGAACAGGAACACTCATAGAGGATTCCTGTTCATTGATAACAGGGGACACAGAAAAAGAGATTGAGGACTCTGTGTTCTCAATCTCTTTATCTATTTTAAAAGGGAAATATCAGGGGTCTGTTTAGACTCCCAATATATTTCCCCGAAGCCCCTAAAAGTAAAGTAAAAAATAAAAATATTTAATAAAAAATGAATGAATAAATAAAAATAAATATATGAAAATTAAAAAGTTTATAAAAAATACATTATTTTAAAAAATTGAAATAATAAAAATAAAAAACATTTTCGGTATCGGTTTCGGTTTCGGCCTGACATTTTTTTTATTTTGGTTTCGTTTCGGTTTTAAAATTTCCATTTCGGTGCACCTCTATTATAAACAATTATGTTCTGTAGTTTAATGAGGGACACATACAGGTTATGAGTTAAAATTTTCTTTGTAGACACGGAAATATTATTACCTTCACATAAGCAACTATTTTAAGGGAGATGGTTGCAAGATAGAGGGAATTCATAGCGAAATCCATTAAGTTCCACCAGTCGTGTACATATTCGGTAAATCCCCCATCCCACATCTCTTTGATTTCACCCCAAATAAAACCTGTACAAAAGAGAATACACACAAAAGTTAGATCCAAACAAGCATTTTTAAGTAACCCTACGGTTTCACCAACCCTTCTAAGGTAAACTTTGATAACCACTGATCACGGTTACTGTGACCAATACCTGACCCACCCCCTCCTGCCATTACAAAATTCTACTTGGAAACAGATGCACTTTCGAAAATAATATGAGCGCACAAGTTTACCTTATGCAACAAACATGAAATAATAGATTTTATTTCAAGAGAGAGAGAGAGAGAGCTTACTGCGTCATACTGTTTCCTGCAGAGAAATGACATTGAACAGACAAATAGTTTGATCTGGTGAATTTGCTTTGTGTAAATGTAGCTTAGTGACACAGGTAAACAAATTCTTAATTGGTGAATTTCAATAATGTGCAAGGATGTATAAGATATCTTTTTACAGTATGCTCCTTAGGAACAAAGATCAATTTACACAAATGTTATGATTATCGTTTTAACTTCCAGAGCATAACTGTTTTGTGTGCTTTTATTAAATTCAGTTGGAAACACCAGCCCTGTATTTATTTAAATGTATAACAAGGCCCAGTGATCCGTAACCAGTTGCTGTGGTGCTCAGATGTGACCATCTGCAAGAATACTATGGCACGTTGATAGAAGCTAATAAATAAACTAAATAAACTAAGAAAAGAGGGGTACACAGTACAATTGCTTGATAAAAACAGGAGTAGCAGAAACTAAACACCAGGCAACATCTAGTTTCTTGATTATATAACGCAAGTGGTATTTAAAATAAGCGCATCACACAACTGTTATAGTCAAAGCAATAATAGAAAACTGTACAGAACATGCATGCCTGGGGACATTTTTACAATCATACTTGGTAATTTCTCTCTCTATTGAGTAACCTGGCTCTAAATTAAAGCAGAACTCTATTTAATTTTGGACAGAGTTAAGAAGGGTTCAAACTAGGGATGCACCAATACCACTATTGGTGCCAATACTGGGTATTTTTATGAGTACTCATGAAAATGCCCAGATACCAGCGGTTTAAATTTTTTAATGGGTTTGGCTGCCTGAGGTCCCACGCTTGCTGGGGACCTCGGCAGCCTTGTGGGGACCTTACAGCGGCTGTGCATTGCCTCCCCACGCACCCACGAGACCCTGAACAGCCTGATGAGATGCCGCACACAGCCCTGGGGAGAATGCACAGCCCTGGAGAGAGGCCGCACACAGTCCTGGGGAGACTGCACAGCTCCGGAGTGATGCCGCACACAGCCCTGGGGAGAATGCACAGCCCTGGGGAGAATGCACTGCTCTGGAGTGATGCTGCACACAGCCTTGTGGAGACTGCACAGCCCTGGAAAGATACTGCACACAACCCTGGCGGAGAATGCACAGCCCTGGAGAGACGCCGCACACAGCCCTGGTGAGAACGCACAGCCCTGGAGAGACGCCGCACACAGCCCTGGTGAGAACGCACAGCCCTGGTGAGACCACTGCACACAGCCCTGGGGAGACCCCACACAGCCCCGGTGAGCAACACACAGTATGTAGCTCTATTATTCTGCATTGCTGTATAATGTTTTGCTGGAATTTGTAGTCATCTATAGCTGATGGTATTCTGCATTGTTGTAAAATGTATTGCTGCGATTTGCAGTCCTCTATCACTAGTGGTATTCTGCGTTGCTGTACAATGTATTGCTGGGATTTGTAGTCCCTTTACAGCTTGGAGTCAGTGTCAGAACTACCAGGGTCACAGCGGTTGCAGCTGCGACTGGGCCCTGGTGCTCCACCACTGTCCTAAAATCATTAGTATGTATTGTTTTAGAAAAACTGTCACATGACACTAAAAAAAAGTATCAGTAATTGGTATCGGCAAGTACATGAGCAAACGTACCGGTACTCATACTCGGTGTTGAAAAAATTATATTAATGCATTCGTAGTTACAACTGCTGTCAAGTTTTTATTGCTGCCTGTGTCCCCGTTAGCAATTAGGGACACTGAACAAGAAGGATTAGGCAGCAAGAAATACTTAATGCTTGCTTATTCTATATAAAACTAAACATAAGATTTTGCAAATCACTGTAGCCTGAACAGGAGTTGTAAATTGGTTGAGGAGTCACAGCAAGGTCTTTGCAGAAGGACTTCAGTTCAGGTCAGATAAACATGGTGAGCTACAAGAGCCAACTGAACACGCGTAATAGAATCAAAGCCATGGTCCATGCAAACACTACAACAGGTAACCAAAAATTAGGTTCTGGTTCTCTCTAAAGGGCTAGACAAAGCCCTAAACTGCCCCACTGCGTGGGTATGCTCAGACATGTGCAAACATACACCCATATGTCTGAGGTCATAAGCAGCCCACATATGTGCAAGCTGAAACACAATAGAATAAGCATGTTAGCAAAGGAACCCAGAGGATTTAGAAGCAGCAGAAGTGGACAGAGACAAATGAAGAAGCAACAGAAGACCTAGATAGAGATGCACTGCCATGTACTGTCAAGTTGATTAGTAAGCCACTAGAGACAGAGGACTGAACGCTAGATGAATGACTCTTGAGGACAACTGTCAGATGTCTGGCTGTATAAATATATAGCAGTCACATTCCTTACATAGTCAAGAATCTATCTTCAGTGGACTTTCAGCATGTTTTTCTTTCTTCTTATGGCCTGTAGTTGAGGTGGTATTTTACCAACAGGCTTTCCTTTGGTGACATCACTGATTTGGCAAGGGTGGATATGGATTGCTTTACTGACTAGAGTTTCAGGTGATATATGACAAGCCCACCTGTCTCCCAAAGTGTAACTATTGACCAGGCGTCAGTGCTGTTACACAAGGACAGGAAACATTCATAGCTTTGACCAAGTTTTGAAAGACAACACATGAACAGCTATTTTACAGGGACTGCATTGCAGCAGACTGGGGTGGTGTGAGAGCTTAGGAAGGGTAAGAATAGATTCCTAAATTAGCTTGTAACCAAGCGAATATCTTTGCTTTCCTAGACAAAGCACGGTTTAGGTTTGCTTCAACACATTTCCCAACAAGATTTTTTGGCAAATGCCTGTTTTCATAGCAAAATCTTTCCAAAGAAACAGTTGGCCCACCATCTGGGCTAAGGTATCTATTTTGTACAGTGCCCCTTTCAGGACATTACTCTAACATGACATTTCTTTCTCCTTCAGTCAGTATAATAAATATTGTGATGAGAAGTGAAGAGAGGCTGTGAATCTTAATGCATGTAGCATGTGAAGGTTGCTTTGCTAGGAGAATTTACAGAAATCTGGATGTAGACTGATACAACGGGGGCATAATCAATGCCTTGGGCCAGTGAGGCAGCAACTTGTATTGATGGAAATAGCTAAGAACAAAAGAGGAAAATTAAATATTTGAGAAAATGTCATAACTTGCATCATGTTGATTAATGTATAAACTATTTCTAAAATCAGAATTTCCAAGTTAAAAAAGTGAATCTAAATGGTGTTCCCTGATGTCCTATTGCAAAATATTCACCAATATCACCCCATAACAACCAGATTGTTGTTATTGACCTAGTTATGCTCCATACACCTCTATTCTAGGACCAAGTCTGTGAAGTATTGAGCAGTTTTATCATATCACAGTGGTTTAATCTAGTTTCACCTTCACAGCATCCTCTAAATACCTTCTTTCTTCTCCTTTTCAATTTCATTTCACTGGGTCACAAAGCTGTACAATGGATAATTAAACAAATCCACTGTGTATAACATTTCATTTTTCTCATTACAGCGCATAATATTTATTTTTAGTTTACCTACCTTGAAACCTAAATGTTCTCCATGGAAAATAATTAACAGCTGTGAGAGGTAACAGACCTGTAACAAGCTTGTCTATGATATTTCTCAATAGGACTAGCTGGGCCATACATGTACACATATTTATTCAAATATATAATTTTGAAATAGTTACTTAGCAATAAAGGTTAAGAGAAGAAATGTGATTATTCCCCTCTAATAATACACCACGTTGACTAGCTGGCTTTAGCTAAGGATTTGGTTGGCACTCTAGTTAATTCTATATGTACTATAAGTGCCTTGATCCTTTATTATACAGTTACACGATGACTTACAAAAATCTCATGTAAACCATTGGGAGTTATGGATCACCCTGTGATTGCTAAGAAAAAACACAATAGTGTCAGCTACATTTGAACATCACAAGTTTCCTGCTGAATGCAATTCAAGGATATTATTTGCAATTTGAACTTGTAGACTGAGAAATATGAGCACAAAAGAAAATAGTAGAATCTGAAGAGAAATAATAGCAAAGAACAAGCTACCAAGATATAAAGACAATATTTGTGAACAACAAACAGGTAGAAACATTTATACATAAACGTTTAAAGCCAAGTTGAAGCCTCTGTATTTAATACTGTAATACAATTATGTTGCCTATTAAGTAATAAATACACTATTTTATCTGTGTATTTTTTACATGTTTAGTGCTACAGCATGGATTAAAATGCTAGCAGCACAGTGGAGAGTCGAGCTTGTAATTGTACACACTAGCATCATCTCAGGTTTCTAGCGGCCCAACACTTCCCTCTGTACACGGATTCAATCAATAATGCTGCACAGGGCGTTAATGCTGTGTGTGTTGTTATACAAACAATGTTGGAAAATCACCTGCACTTCAATACAGATATTGGTGCTTGAAGTGACGGATGGTGCCGTGTCATTGCATAATCAATAATGGAAGTCACAGGCACTCAATATTGTGCAAGAAGCATGAGCACTTTTATTATTGCATCACATGCATCATCAAGCCAGCGTTTCGGGGCCATGCAGGGTCCCTTACTCAGAGCGACATAGTGATGATCACTATGTCGCCCTGAGGAAGCGGCCCTGAGGAAGTGGCCCTGCGCAGCGCTGAAGCATTGGCTTGATGGCACATTAATAAAAGTGCTTATGCTTCTGGCACAATATTGAGTGCTGGCAACTTCCATTATTTGTTATACAAACAACACACTGTATTTTAC